CTCTCTCTCTCTCTCTCTCTCTCTCTCTCTCTCTCTCTGTGTGTGTGTGTGTGTGTGTGTGTGTGTGTGTGTGTGTGTGTGTGTGTGCGCGCGCGTGTGCGTGTCTTTTTCGCAGTCGTCGTTGTCTGCTTGCGACTAGTGAACATGCATGTCAGAGAGCTATTTCTGAGTCTAATCCTGTTTATCGACCTCTCTACCTATCTACCTACCTAAGTAGCCTTCGATCGTCTGTCATCCTGTACTACCGGTAGTCGGCATTGAAGATTCATCGACTTCATGGCCTTCGGATGGAATAATACCTACTGCTTGTCCTAAGCGGGCGCTCAATACATGCGTGAAACACGGGGGGGGTGAAAAAACAGTCGTGGAAACCTCGAAGCCCCGACTGGCTGTGTGAATCCGAAGGAGGCGGGCAGGTGGACATCTTTCCCCAGGGTTATGGCTGCTGACACTGCGCGCCGACCCTCTGCCTAATACCGGGCTCCCAACACTGCACCACGCAATCGAAGCCATGGGCCGCGCTCCCCCCTGCACAACATTGTCAACGCATCTGCACAGTGTTATGGTCCCAATACATCCAAAATGGCCGATCAGTTTGAACGTAGGTGGCCCACCTGTCGGTCCAGCTACGTCTCAATTTGTTGAGCAAGGGAGCGAGGCCGCCTGTCGCCCCCCTGTGGCATTTCGTTCCAAGCCCTCCGGCTGGGGAGAATTGTTTCTTTTTGTTTTTCCGAAAAATAAAAAAGAATTTTGTTTTTTTCAAAATTTAAAAGCTGCCCTCTTTTTTTTTCTTTTTTTTTTTCTGCCTTCTCCTCATCTAGGGACAGCCCTATATTTTTCTCTCACCTCACATAAATCGAGAAATGGTCCAAAAAAAATAATAATAATAATAATAAATTCTCATATATTTTTCTCTCACCTCACATATTTTTCAAGTGGCGTTCTGCCATGTCATGGAACATATCTTTCCTTTTTTTTTCCCTTTTTCTTTTTTCTTTTTTTTTCCCTTTTTCTTTTTTCCTTTTTTTATCGTTCTTTCACTACCTGCCACTACTCCAATGGCTATACAACAGACGCTAGCAGACACCAAGATCTCATTCGTGCATGTATCTGACCATAAACGCGACCAGAGTGCTTCCAAAAATGTGTATGCTGAAGTGCCTATCTAGGGAGGCTGGGCGGCACTTGTCGACAACGTGCATCTCCATGTGAAGCAAGATTTTCATGCATGTTTACGACCAGATCCCTTCCCAAAATGTGCTACTCCTGTAGTGCATACCTATGCACTCCGAGCGACGCAGCGCCGCTAGACGACGTGCATCTTCTGCGGTTGCAGAGCCTCGCTCCACTAAACACGACTTTCTAAGAATGTATCTGGACAGAATTATCACTCCGATACTTTTGAAACGTCGGATCAACAAGAATGTATTTAAGCCATAACGCTGTCCAGATACCTGGATAACTTGAATACTCTACAGGAGCGAGGCCCGGAGAGGCGCAAGCGACGACGCCACCATCACAGGTCCCCATCAACCGGAAACACCGTCCCAGATATAGGGCATCGCTGCACTACTCTCCACATGCACAAACGACAAAACATAAGGCCGTGTATCTTTCCATGTTCTAGCGGAAGATTCATTCTTATTTTGTGCATTTGGAGAATAGTGCGGCGAGGCCCATACGCTCCTCGCCAGAATGTGATAAGTGCTTCATTGTTGAATGTACCGTTCCATTAAAACAGGCCAAATACACTTGAAGCTCGCCTTTTTTGACACTCTTGTGTCTTTATTTGCATAAAGGAAGGAGCCTGTAACGGCATCGAATCTAGCTAAAGAACAAAACAACTTGAAAGCAAGAAAAAAGCGTCTTTTTAAAAAAAGGAAAAAAAAGAAAAAAAAGCGGCCTAGCTCAGTGTTTTTTTTTTGTTTTTTTTTTTCCTTTCCTTTTTTTTTGGCCTAGCTCATCAGTTGGTTATGCAGGAAAGTGGCATTGAGGAGATGTGGTTTCTAGCCCCATCACAGCCTGAAGCGCACTTAGACAGTCCTAAGAATGCCGGTTTTGAGGAATGCAGTGTGGTTACACCGAGTTGGCATATGAAAATGTGAAAACGGCGTTAGGACTACTCCTAAAGGATTTCGGAATCCCAAGGCAAAAGCTCCAAAAAAAAAAATTATTTTTATTTTTATTTTTACTTTTTTTGCAAACATCTGGCTCCATTCTATTAGTGGGGAGCAACACTTGCTGGGAACCGGGCCCAGCGTCCCTCATAAGATCCAAAATGGAATCAGGGGCCGGGGTCCCCACAGTCTACCCTTTTACCCGGTGAGAAACAGAAATGTAACTGAGCTCCATACAGGGAGCAGTAACAGGTCCAGACAGTGAAGCCTCTAGCTATAACTTGAATTCCCAGTCCCTCTCAGCTGAGAGCTGTCAGATAGGCATTGTAGGTCTCTAGGACTGTGAATGATCCCGTAAGAGATCAGAATAGATAAGTTTGTTGTCGCTCGAAAAGCCAGCCCACTTATGAGGTGAGGACCAGTTCCTCTTAAACTTGTCTTTAGCCAGTTCCAGGGGCCTCAGAGTACTTTATGTCCTTCGGGACATCCGTTAAAATTGGAACGATACAGAGAAGATTAGCATGGCCCCTGCGCAAGCATGACACGCATAAATCAGAGTACTTTACGTTTTATACCAGTCAGCTGTAATTTCTTTTTCTTTTTTTCTTTTTTTCTTTTTTCTTACAATGAACAATGTCTTTATAAAAGCCGGGAACCGGCGTCCCTTACAAAATTACGTGGGGCCCTCAGTGGGCGAGGCATCACCGGCCTAACACATAGAGGACACCACTAGATTTAACCCCACCCAGTGTCAATTTCACAGTCCCAACAACTCAAAGAGTGAACGAAATTTCCATTCTTATGGAAAGTAGGAATTTTGCAGTAATAGCAAAGAGAGGAGGAAACTCTCTGGAACTCTCCCTGTAATTACAAAATCTTTGTTCCAAAAGCCTGTTATGGTGTAAACTTCCCCCCATATGGAATCCAAGAGTCCCTGGCGATAACACATTCCCACCAGAGGTGTAACCAGTCTTCCAGGCACGGGTGTGGGCATACATCACAGGCCGTTTGTATCTCCATACCTCTTTCAGCACACCAGAGGGCGGTGGGGACACATGAGTGCAGATGCAGCCATTGCAGCCCCCCCACCTTTGTTTCTAAAGCTGAGAGCATGAGTTGGATAAAAAAGTATACCCAAGATGCTGAGATCTGTCTCAGACCTAGTGCTGCTGCTTTGCATTGCCAGTTGATGATGGCTCCTAAAACTTTTACCTCCCCCTGAGCATCTTAAATTTTTAGGAACCCGCATTTCACGGATTCTTGGCGACGCGCGCATGGCACTGTTGTCTCGGACTCCGTGGTGCAGAAGCTGTCCGTCGGGCCAGGGGTCGGACATTGGAGGCCTCTGGTGGCCTGATGGAGGCAACGGCCACATCCGATAGCCGTTGGTGTGTGATGCCCAACCTCACGCCCGGCGTGACTTCCTGATCGGAGTGGGATGGGGCCCCGGAAGTGCGAAAAGGGGTGTGCCAAGGATTTTTGGGAAAGTGGGGGTGGAGTCCCAAATTGGAACTGAGATCTCCTGTGGCAAGTTCCAGGGGGACAGGTGCAAAAAGGGGATATACTCAGGGGGGGGGGGGAGCTGTTGTCGTGCAGCATAAGGCAGATGGCACTCGCGGTGTGTCCCAGGGAAAAATCCGGGGCACTTGCTGTTACCACCGTACCGACAGATCTAAACACTCCTGCATCTTCGAACAAAATTCCAACAAAATTGCCCCTGACGACAGGTTTTAATTTTCACGGTCGAATAGGCAAAGAAATCACCATCGCCGCTAATTTCGTCTTCGGGGTCGGTCGCGAGGTTCGGCCAGTTGTTGGGGTCGCTCGTAGCAGGCCTCGGATTCCGCCGAGGCGAGTCGTTGCTCAGCCTCGGTTCGAGCCTGTCGGGAAGTTCCCGGAGCTCGGCGCGCCCGGTGGTGCCGACAACCCTCGCACCGCGGGCTAGGCCAGTAGCGGGGTATGGAATTCCACGGTACCACTGTGAGTTGGTGATAGGGGAGAAGGAGATGAAAGGGAGCGAAATTGGTGGTAATGACGACGAAACCGGGGGATATTAAATATTGCGTGTTATAAGTGTCCGGGTAGTCGGGGCACCTGGGGTCGCTAGTTATGGAACGGTGAAAATCCCTTGGGCATAATCGGCCATTATCCGTCAGGCAAGGGAATTCCGGATTTATCAAATTTCCTTGCCGCCGGAGTTGTTCGTCGTCCCAGTATTCGCGATATTCCGGGTCCCTCAGATCCTCGTAGTCGGATACCCAGAAAGGAGATCTTGCAGCCATGTCTGTTTAGCAAGCCGCATCTTCCACATCCCTACACGAGATTAAGGCCGACTCACGCAGGCGAGTGCGTACGTGGCGACGTCGAGATCGCGGACGTACGTACTCGTGCGCGTAAGAAGCAGCCGGTTGGTTCCGTGTGTCTGTCGCATTCAACCATGTGCACCAAGATCCTACCAATCACTACCTGCCTTGCATGTGACGCAAAAAGACGTCAGAACATCAAAAGTGGGCGTTCCCAATCAGGCCTGACCACATAGCTCATGTGGGCGAACGCTGGTCAGAGACAACACAGGCATCGCAAAACAGATCGAAAAAATCGCTAACAAAAAGAGGACCTACATTCATTCTATGCATACATACCGAGCAAAGTAACAAAGAAAATATGAGACGATGTACGCGAGAAGTTCACAAGTGACGGGTCGTGATAAGGAGATCGACAATATCAGAATCCAAAATTATACAGATGAACAGAGCAAAAATGAAAAGAGCAACAAAAAAAAGCCTTATCCCACACCCACATCACTGCTCTCTCTCCCTCTCTCCGCTCCTGTTGCGGGCAGTCCGTCGCCTCGCACCAATACCCACGATACCGGCAATCCGTCACCGCGTACCCACACAGAGTTGTCACCCTGCTTGGTTCAAGCATGCAAGCCAGGTTCGCCCGTGCGCCACAGTCCGTCGCGGCCCCGCACGTCAACCTCGCATACCCGACACCAGCTCGTCAGATCGCCCAACTCTCACACTCACGGGAAGAGAGAAAGTGCCTACGTCTGCGTAGCCAAACCGCGGCGTGGGGGTCGTAGCCACACTCCACGCATCGATCCGATCATGTAGGCGCTTCGACCAATTAGAACGGAGTATGTAAGACGAGAAAGAAGGAGAAGGAAGACGGGCAACATAGGAGAGCCAAGAAAAACGAAGGATTAAAGTTACGATCACGCCTGACAGCTGCACAGGATTAAAGGCGCGATCCAGTCAGAACTCAGTTCCCCGCGCCACAAAATGCGTGCAAACGTTACGCAACAAAATTCAGAGTACCTAAATTCCTAGCTTAAATCCTAATTGCAAAAAGGAAATACCGGAAGGAAAAACGATTCCGAGAGCCCGCGCAGGCTTGACATCAGTTACAAATTCGAAAAAATAAAAATTCCCGCGCGTTAATCACGCCAAAATTCCTAATGCTCACAATAGAACAAGAAAGAAGCTATGGTACAGTTATTTCTTGCGCCCATCATGGCGCAACCATCCAATTGTCGACGCACGGTTTTCCCGGCGCTGGCCCTACAGATTTCCCGCAAAAACGAAAAAGAAGCGAGGGTATCCATGCAACATGCCCAACCGAATCCCGCATACACCCGTTACCTATCAAAGCCTTCCCGTTTTCCCTCATCAGCCTCGCGTAGTTAATCGCGCGGGTGCAGAAGATAAATCGTCACATATGTAACACCCAGGGGGTTCCAATCTTGAGCAAGCTCCTGCTTGCTCGATGCTTCAACACGTGTCGACCTCTCTTATTGGTCGACCATGCGAAGCTCTCTCTCTAGTACGTGCCACGCACTGTAAGATAAGAGTGTGGAAGTCATCCACTCATGGCATTCGTAGGCTCTATCCTACAAGTTTCCGAGGAAGGGCAATCTAATCACGGACGGAGGAGGTGGTGGGGGATCCTGGGGAAAAGGGGGCATGAAGCGAAGGATATCCCGGGTTCCGAGGGCGGGGAGGGGGGTGTAGTGGATGGAACGGTGGATGCGAGGGAAACGAGGGCACTCGTGTTGATGGGGAACCGAGGGGAGGTAGTCAGGATAGAAGGTGGAGATGGTGCGATGGAGGGCCGTGCGAAAGTTCTCATAATTTTCGCAGGCGGGGATTGTACCCGAGATAATACAATAAACTTCTATGTTATTGTATTTCCGCCAGTTTGCGCTAAAGAAAAGGACATGGAGACGGAAAGAATCGACAAGGGAGCGAGTGGTGGGGTGCGGGACGATGGTGATCGGGAGACATGTGGCGTAGAGTTGATGGAAGAGGGTGGATGGTAAAGGACACCATCCATCGGGAAAAGGCGGTCGATCCGGGAGTTGGGGGGTCATTACGTAATCATGGGGACGGCGGGATAACGACCGGGGATGAAGGCCTATCGCTCGCATCTCTACGAAGGCGAAGGGCAGGGCGGGGTGGGGAAAGGGACGGAGCTGGCGATTCACTCCTCCTGCAGCGGTGGCTTCCTGATCCCTTGGCGGTAGCTCCATCGTCTTCGGGCTCTTCATGCGGCGGCTCCCAGTTGAGCGACAGGTCTCCTAACAACAGCTCCAGCGGGGGTCCTTCCTCGATCGGCTGCTTACCTTCCGCCTTTTCTCGTTGCCTCTGGGCTTCGGCCAACTCTTCTTCTTTGCTTCTCCTGGGTCGACTGCTTGGTTCACCTGGCTCGTTTTCTTCCTCCGTCGGCTCCTCTTCCTCTTCTTCTTCTCTCTCTTCTTCCTTATCTTCCTCTCTCTCCACTTCCCCCTCGGTCTCCTCTTCTCCGAGGTAGTCGGAGTCGTCCAGATCCGTTCGCGATTCCTCCTCCTCTTCCTCCTCTTCCTCGCCTTCTTCTGCTTCGTCGTTGACGATCAGCGCGTTCGCGCGCCGGATGACTGGATCGCACAGTACGAGATCGGCAACGTTGATTTCCAGGGAAAGATCGTGGGATAGGTAAAGGGAGTTATCCACGTCCAGCTCCATACACGTAGACCACAACAGATGAGGCGCGACTGTGCGGGCGAGTACGTCGGGGCCGGGCTTGCTATCGGACCGTGATAGGATGTGGAGAGGCAGATCCTCCACCAGCTGCGCCAGGAACACCAACAACTCGCTCGTGATGAGGGCAAGATTTCCTTCCTCCAACTTGCCAAACACGATGCCCAAAAGTTCTCCCTCTGTTTCCGTGCGCCACGCCTGCACTATCAACAGCTCCACCTCATCATCGGGACCTCCGTCCCTTCTCCTCCGGGCGCTGGCTCAGACCAATGAAAGATCACTTCCACGAGGCAGAAACTAAGCTCCAGGTAGGCATCCCACCAATCACTCCACTTATCTTGGTTCAAGATCAGCACGCCGAGCGGCTTGACGCCGAAGGAGAGGGTGGGGGCGTGGGCAGATTGCCGAAAGGTGGGGAGATCGGAAGGGAGACCGAAGAGAGAAAGACGACGACGACTCATTGGGGCGGCGCAAAAGGGCGAAGCTCTGGGAGCAGGATGGGTGGCGAGCTGCTGGAAGAACGAAGTTGTAGATCGATTTTATGAGACGTCACGACCGTGTCCCCCCGATGGGCCAGAAGCACCGTCCACACGCCCTCAATTATATCGGAGGGTGGTTTCCGGTCTGGATTTCGTGCTGAATCACTAATGACAGTCCGATATCGGTGTCGGTTACACTAATCGCTCCCTGATATTCCCTTAGGATGTCGGCGATCAGGTGATGGGTTTCGTCAGGTCCGTACTGTGGTACGTGAAGTTCGTACAGCTGTCCCAATAGTTGGACAATGATTGATTTGGTATTGGTTCGTGTAATGCTTCCGGAAGGGGGTGAAGAGATGAATGAGTTGTCTGACCGCCAGGAGAATACCGTGGTCATAATCTGCGTCTCTTCCTCGCGGATTGCCACGTGCTCTTCCGGGGTGATGTCGTCGTGGATATCCTGCCATGGTACGGTTTTCTCCGCGATCTTGATTCCGAGATCGTTAGTTTGAACTTCAGGATGCCCGGGGGGTTCCAAAGAATTGGCCTCGGCCCCTAAGCGAAGCAATCTTACCTCTTTCCCTGGGGGTAACAGGGAACGGGGTAAGTCCGTGATGTCACATAAATTCCTCTTATCGCTGTATCTTGCAAGTAGTGGAGTGATGCCCTCGTATATGGTTTGAGGGGGTTCCAAGGAATCTGTCATCCTAGAAATTTATACGAGAGGCTCACCCAAAATCATTGCATGTGTCCTCTGTAGGTTCCGTTCCGTTATGCTGAACGATCTCGCAATCGTTCGTCGAGTTGGGTAATAAATGCGTTGTTGGACCAGTTCTCATACCGCTAAGTCATCCTCGTCGCTGTCTTCAGCATCACTCGGGAGTTCCTGTTTCTCTTCCCGTTTCCCTATCCGGGACTTGTTACACTCCGTGGGATCTTCCCATGTGATCATTCGGAGGGCTCCTATTGAAGGAGATCGCGGGGCTGTATCCGCCATGGTTCGAAGAGTTAGTCTAATGGGTATTGCGTACGGTTTTCCTCCTGTGTTTCGGAGGACAATCGATCGTCTTCAAAGTCTAGATTGGCTTGCAACGCGGTGAGATATGGTAATCTTAAAAGAACACCGTAGGTGTTTACATCTAATACTACGACATCTCCCTGGACATGTACCTTCCCTAACCGAAACACGACGTTCGTCATTCGTCCCACCGTTTTAATCTTTTCTTCATCTGCACAAACGAGATGATCTTTCTCCGCAAGCATGATCATGTCTTTTCTTCTTCCCGCTCTTTCTACTACTCTTAGTGAGATAGCCAAGACGGCGGCTCTGGAATCGATGATGGCATTGTACGGAATTCCCCAAACTTCGATGTCACATTCGATGGATTTCCACGGGATTGCTTTGATCCGTAGGAAGTGATCGTCTTTCTGTATTAGCCCTAATCGTCAAGGTTTCGACGTGCTGGCAGGATTCGGATCGTCTTCTTGGGAAGGGGTTTTTCCTTTCGTGTTCGCCGTTCTTGGAAGAGCGAATCGTTTTTTGTTCGCCTTGCAGTGTTGCAACATACGCTCGTTAACCTGTTCCGATATGGACAATAGGTGTCCGATCAGGAGGGGAATGCGGTGATCCAGAGCGCGGACGATGTTCAAAAATCTATTTCCCCAGTGACGAAGGTGGGTCCTCCTGATTCCATCTCCCCTCGAGAGGGTCTCCATTCCGCCACCTCCCGCTGTTCCTGAGCGGGTCTAATAGTCCCGATCATTCCCAACCGCGGATATCCTAATGTTATGTACTGGTCGAGCGGAATAAGTTCAGCAGCCTCTTTCGTAGTGGCCAATGCACTCCCTCCTCCTTCGATTTCTTCCAGCATCGCTCCTACCCTTTCCGGCCCATTGGTGATTGTTGTCGCGGTTACTGGGGTGGCCCCAACTCGCGGTTGGGTGGGTCGGTAGGGGCAGTCCCGGGCTATGTGTCCTGGTTGATGACACGTGTAGCAGACGCTTAGATTGCCTGCTACACCTCTGGTTGCGGGCGCAAAGGCCAATCCCTGCTGTATTAGGGCAACTCGTACAGCTATGGGACGCATCGATCTCATCATTGATTCTATTCGAGTATTGTGTTCGCACTGCTTCTTGTTGCTTTCCTGAATCAGGTTGACCAATGTTTTGGTCAGCTCTACTAAAGCGGCTGATTCGTTCGATCATGCGGGATTGTCCACCGGTGGTGGGGGCATAGTCATGACGGGGATGGGCATTCTTGTGATGACACTAGGAGTCGTTCGTTTAGGTGTGATCTGCTCCAAATAGGTGACTGGTACGGACACAAACCCCATACTTTCGAACTTGTTTTGTAGCGTGGCCAACTCGGCCTTGGCCTTGGCTAATTCCGGCGAGTCTCCTTCCCTGGGGTAATCTTCCCCCTCTAGGAAACTCGCGGCGATTTTTCGTTCCATTTCTTCTGCGGTGGCCATAAGCTGTTGCAGCGTATGAGTGATGGGGGAGAACTGTTTACGCAGCTTCGCCCTCATCGTTCTGCTGCGAAGTCCGTCAATAAATAAGTCTTTTCCTAATTGTTCTCCTCGCTCGGTTTTCACGAACATTCGATAGAATCTATTGTGGTATTCCGTGATGGATTCAAGAGGTTTTTGAACCCGATCTTTAATTATGAAGAGAGTCTGCTCGGGATGAAAATAATCAAATCGATTCAAAAAGTCCCGCTCAAATGTCGGGAGAACGATCCAAACATAGGTACTCAACCAATAATGTGCATGTCCTCTCGGTCGGGCGAGGATGTTAATCTGTGCTTCGTCATTATCATACTGCTGTGCCTGGAGCGTGGCCAACCATGCTCCCGGTGAGATGATGTGCTGGGTCAAAAAGGTAGAGATCGGGTGGGGCCACAGGTGCCCGCGCTCGTGGTGCAGGCACCGACTGAGCTAGATTAAGATGTTGTTGATTGACGTTCATGTTGGTCGTCTGCCGGGCTCTCACACTATTCCTTGTGACTATAGGATCGCGTCGCGGCGCATTCCGTGCTCGGGGGCGTCCTCTGTTAGCCAGATCGCTCTACACTAATTACCCACCTGTCAGCCTGGAGTCTGCCACGTGTCGGCTTCGATACCAACCTCACGCTCGACGCGACTTCCTGATCGGAGTGGTATGGGGGTTCGGAAGTGCGAAAAGGGGTGTGCCAAGGATTTTTGGGAAAGTGGGGGTGGAGTCCGAAATCGTGACTGAGATCTCCTGTGGCAAGTTCCAGGGGTACAGGTGCAAAGAGCTGTCTCTTATACACATCTAGATGTGTATAAGAGACAGGAGATCTCCTGTGGCAAGTTCCAGGGGTACAGGTGCAAAAAGGGGATATACTCAGGGGGGGGGGGGGGGGGGGTTGTCGTTGAGCATAAGGCAGTTGGCATGCGCTATGTGTCCCAGGGAAAAATCCGGGGCACTTGTTGTTACCACCGTACCGACAGATCTAAACATTCCTGCATCTTCGAACAAAATTCCAACAAAATCGCCCTGCCGACAGGTTTTAATTTTTATGGTCGAATAGGCAAAGAAATCACCATCGCCGCTGATTTCGTCTTCGGGGTCGGTCGCGAGGTCCGGCCAGTTGTCGGGGTCGCTCGTAGCAAACCTCGGATTCCACCGAGGCGGGTCGTTGCTCAGCCTCGGTTCGAGCCTGTCAGGAAGTTCCTGGAGCTCGGCGCGCCCTGTGGTGCCGACAACCCTCGCACCGTGGGCTAGGCCAGTAGCGGGCTATGGAATTCCACGATACCACTGTGAGATGGTGATAGGGGAGAAGGAGATGAAAGGGAGGAAAATTGGTGGTAATGACGACGAAACGAAGGGATATGAAATATTGCGTATTATAAGTGTCCGGGTAGTCGGGGCACCTGGGGTCGCTAGTTATGGCACAGTGAAAATCCCTTGGGCATAATCGACCATTTTCCGTCAGGCAGGGGAATTATGCATTTATCAAATTTCCCCGCCGTCGGAGTTGTTCGTCGTCCCAATATTCACGATATTTCGGGTCCCTCAGATCCTCGTAGTCGGATACCCAGAAAGGAGATCTTGCAGTCATGTCTGTTTAGCAGGCCGCATCTTCCACATCCCTACAAGAGATTAAGGTCGACTCACACAGGCGAGTGCGTACGTGGCGACGTCGAGATCGCGGACGTACGTACGTGCGCGTAAGAAGCAGGCGGTTGGTTCCGTGTGTCTGCCGTATTCAACCATATGCACCAAGATCCTACCAATCACTACCTGCCTTGCGTGTGACGAAAAAAAGGCCGAAAGGAGGGGATGATTGACGGTCAGACGTCAGAACATCAAAAGTGGGCATTCCCAATCAGGCCTGATCACTTAGCTCATGCAGGCGAACGCTCGTCAGAGACAACAGAGGCTTCGCAAAACAGATCGAAAAAATCGCTAACAAAAAGAAAACCTACATTCATTCTATGCATGCATACTGAGCAAAGTAACAAAGAAAATCCGAGACAGTGTACGAGAGAAGTTCAAAAGGGACGGGCCGTGATAAAGAGATCGGCCATATCAGAATCCAAAATTATACAGATGAACAAAGAAAAAATTGAAAGAGCAACAAAAAAAAAGCCTTATCCCACACCTACATCATTGCTCTCTCTCCCTCTCTCCGCTCTTGTTGCGGGCAGTCCGTTGCCTCGCACCAATACTCACGATACCGGCCGTCCGTCGCCACGTACCCACACAGAGTTGTCACCCCGCTTGGTTCAAGCATGCAAGCCAAGTTCGCCCGTTACCACTGTCTGTCGCGGCCCCAGACGTCAACCCCTCATACCCGACACCAACTCATCGGATCGCCCAACTCTCACACTCACTCACCTTCCAACTTGCTCGTTAGCCGACTCTCACTGATCTCGCTAACCTCGAAATTTTTAGAAAGAAAACTAATCACGCTTACAGAATTAATAGCATGCATACCTGTGCGAAAGGTACATGATTAATCCCGGATAGACAAAAAGGGAAGAGAGGAAGTGCCTACGTCTGCGTGGCCAGGCCGCCGCGTGCGGGTCGTAGCCACACTCCACGCATCGATCTGGTCATGCAGGCGCTTCGGCCAATTAGAACGGAGTATGTAGAAGGAGAAGGAAGGCGGGCAACATAGGAGAGCCAAGAAAGACGAAGGATTACAGTTACGATCGCACCCGCCAAAAACAACAGTTGCACATGATTAAAGGCGGGATCCAGTCAGCACCCAGTTCCCCGCGCCACAAGACACGTGCAAACATTGCGCAACAAAATTCCGAGTACCTAAATTCCTAGCTTAAATCCTAATTGCAAAAACAAAATACCGGAAGGAAAAACAATTCCGAGAGCCTGCGGGGGCTCGACATCAGTTACAAATTCGAAAAAATAAAAATTCCCGCACGTTAATCGCACCAAAATTCCTAATGCTCACAGTAGAACAAGAAAAAAATTATAGTACAGTTATCCCTTGCGCCCATCACGGCGCAGCCATCCAATTGTTAGCGCAGGGTTTTCCCAGCGTTGGCCCCACGAATTTCCCGCAAAAACGAAAAGAAGTGAGGGTATCCATGCAACATGCCCAACCGAATCTCGCATACTCTCGTTACCCATCAAAGCCTTCTCGTTTTCCCTCATCAGCCTCGCGCAGGAATTCGTGCGGGTGCAAAAGATAGTTTGTCACAGGGCGAGGTGGACCGTGGAGGGCAAGTGGGGTTGCCTTCTCGCTTGTAGTCGGCCGTTGGCTTC